GGGGCCCGGGGGTGGGGCCGGTGGGGGTTAACGGGGGGGCTGGCACCCAGGCATGGTGCCCGTGGGGGGTAGCGGGGGGGCTGGCGCCTGGGCGTGGGGCCCGCAGGGGGCAATGGGGGGTCTGGTGCCCGTGGGAGGTAATGGGGGGGGGCTGATGCTCACCGGGGCTGCGTCTCACTCTCTCCCCCCCTCTCCCCCCCAGATGTGGGGCTTTGGCCAGCCCACCCTGCCGCCCCCGGGGCCCCCGCCCCCCCCATCCTGCAGCACCCCAGCGCCTGGAGCAACCTGCAGGAGTCGTACCTGGTCCTGCGCGCCATGGAGACCTTCCTGGGCCGCGTCGTCCGGGAGTTCACCCTGCTGCGCGTGGGGGGGGGCTGGGCCCCCCACTGACCCCCCAACCCCACCCCCGACAAAACTGACCCCCGGGGTCACGCTGCTGCTCCCAGAGCTGGGGGGGAGAACCCAGGCGTCCTGGCTCCCAGCCCCCCCTGCTCTCACCCACCAGCCCCCACTACCCTCCCGGAGCAGGGGAGAGAACCCAGGCGTCCGGGCTCCCAGCAGCCCCGATGTTAATTTATATGAGTGGATTTTTATATATTATTTATTTTTTTGCTATTTATTACCAAGAAATGTGATTTTTATTTATTTTTTGTAATAAAGTGACTAATGTTAAGTGTCTTGTTGTTTTCACCCAGCCAGGACGCCTGGGTTCTCTCCCAGCTCTGGGAGGGGAGTGGTGGGAGGGCAGGAGCCCGGACTCCTGGGTTCTCTCCCCCCATCACCTCTCGATTCTGGTTTCTCTTTTCCGTTCCCTGTTTCTAGTTGATTCAGCCCCTCCTCATTCCCCTTCGCCCTGGGGTTTTCTGGGAACCCGGTGCTGACTGATACACAAAGTAAACAAAACCCACAAGGTGCTATTTTGGTAGGTCCTACAGGAACTCACGGGCTGTCAGGAGCATCTTCTTTCCCGGAACCTTCCCCACCCTTCAGCTGATATGATTTTGGTAGGTCCTACAGTAACTGCTACGGTCCTGCACCATCCCTCGCCCCCCAGTTCTACGCCCCACATTCCTTTCACATGTGTTTTCTTTATTCCATGTTCCCAGACACACTGATGCAGGTGGGCAGGTGGCCTGGATGCCTGGGTCCTATCCCAGGCTGCGGGGGGAGGGAGGGGGCTGTCTGTCATGGCTGGAATCTGTCCGGCCAGGAGATGGCACGAGCCCCCACCCCCCCAGGGCCCCCAGCGGGTGGGGATGGGGCAGCGTCACTGGGGCGGGGGTCTGCGCAGACGAAACTTCAGCTCTGCCATCATGTTGGGGTGGGCGAGGCCGAAGCTGTGGGGCAGAGAGACCAGGAGGGGGTGAGGGGAGCGGCCAGCAGGAGGAAGAGAACCCAGGAGTCCTGGCTTCCAGCCCCACCCCCGCTCCAACCCACCAGCCCCCACTCCCCTCCCAGAGCTAGGGAGAGAACCCAGGAGTCCTGGCTTCAGCCCCACCCCCGCTCCAACCCACCAGCCCCCACTCCCCTCCCAGAGCTAGGGAGAGAACCCAGGAGTCCTGGCTCCCAGCCCCCCCCTGCTCTAACCCACCAGCCCCCACTCCCCTCCCAGAGCCGGGCAGGGAACCCAGGAGTCCTGGCTCCCCTGCCCTCCAACAGCCTCCCTCCTTAGCCCCTCCTTACCCAGCATGCCCTGGGAGCTGCCTCCTCAGTGTGTGTGGCTGGTGGGGCATGGGGGGCAGGAAGCCCCCTGGGGTGCCCGGCTCCTGGGGGGGCTGGGGCAGGGTCTCGGGTGGGGCCCCCCCGGGGGGTCTCTGGGCCCGGAGGCTGGGCGCCCGGCGCACCGACCCCTTCCTCCGTAGCAGCACCCGGCTCCTCTGGGCACTCACGTCCAGGGGGTGGACCTGGGGGAAGGAGACATAAGGGGGGGCTCTGCACCAGGACCCCACCCGTCCCCCCCCCTCGCTGCCCCCAGGACCTCCCAGTACCCCAACTGGCCCCCCTCCCCTAACCCTCCCCCCCACCTACGGCCCCTCCCCAAATCCCTCGCTGCCCCCCACTCACCTCTCCCGGCTCCAGCAGGGGGGTCTGGGCACCATCTGGGAGGTCGGGCTGGGGGATGGGGCAGAGGGGGGGGGTGGTCTGCCGAGCCCTCCCCTGGGGCCCCTCCCTGGGGCCAGCTCCCCCCCCCCCACTCCTTCCCCCTCTCTCTGGGTCCCCAGACAGATGCTGCTCCCCCCGCCCCCCACTTGCTCCATGGGGGCCCCTGCTGGGCTGATGTCCCCCTCAGGGTCCCCCTCTTCCTCCCCGCGGGCCCCTACCCCGGTCCTGAGTCCCCCAGGCTCACCCTCCCGGGGCTGCCCCTCTGGCCTCTCCTCTTCCTGCTCCCCCTGGGTCTGCAGCTGGGGGCTGCCCCCCATCGGCTCCCCCTCCCCTCGCTCCCCCACCCCTATGGGTTCCCCATCCCCCCTCGGCTCCCCCTCCCCTCGCTCCCCCACCCCTATGGGTTCCCCCTCCTCCCTCCACTCCTCCCCTCGCTCCCCCACCCCTACGGGTTCCCCATCCCCCCTTGGCTCCCCTCCTCCTTCTCCCCACCCTAGGGGTTCCCCTTCCCCTCACGCTCCACTCCCCTCCTCCTCCGCC